CCTCTCCCACCCCTCAAACACTATTATTTTAAACGTAAGCAGCTCAAACACAATCCAAAGGGGTTTCTGCCACCACACCTGCTGGAGGAAATGGGTCTTGTGAATTTCTCTTGAACTCTACGTGTTGTTTAAAAAAACACTGGATCAGCTAGAGAAGGAAGCCAACAAGTTCTTAAACTCAAGATCATTATTACTTTTAGTTTCTTTCTATGTGCAACTGATCTTTTCTGTGTTTACAGTCAAAATAAGTCCCATTTTTACTATAAAAAGAGGATACAAAGGTTGTTTCTGCCATGAGGTCAGAAAGGACTAGAAAAGAGAGAGTCTCACTACTTTTATTTATATGCTTTATGGCAACTAGCACAGAATGAGGAACGACAACTCAAACAGGAGATCAGAACATGGCTTTAAATTCATTAATAAAGTTGGGGAGATTTGGCAAATGACAAAAAAAAAAAGTAGCCTGTCTATCCACAGTGGTTTCTATCTTCTTTGTATATTAAGAGGAGTTGAAAGCTGAGCACTGGTGGCCCATGCCTGTAATCCTAGCTACTCAGGAGGCTGGGATCTGAGGGTCATAGTTCAAAGCCAGCAGGACAGGAAAGTCTTTAACACTCTTATCTCCAAGTAACCACCAGAAAACTAGAAGTAGAGCTGTGGCTCAAAGTGGGGGAACTAGCCTTGGGCATAAGAGCTCAGGGACAGTTCAAGCCTCAGGACTAGCATAAGAGGGAAAGAGGGATAGAGGGAGGGACGGGGAGAACTTGAGATAAAACCAAAGACCAAGTGTTATTTATATATTACTTATTACAGGTACATAGTAGCTGCTCAGACACTTGTTAATGGAATAAAAAAAAACTAATCTAAACTAGTACAAGGCCCTGAGTTCAAATCTTTGGACAATCAAAAAAGTTACAGACTTGAAAGAATTTCAGATAACATCTTGATAAGAAAAATTATTTCTTCTCAAAAGCCTAATAGATTCTGAATAGTTATAAGTATAAGAATACTCAACTTTTCTCAAGAGCTTAGCTAAGATCCATATAGATATTGAAGAAAATTATAGAATACAACTATCTATAAAATTCTTTTCTAAAGACTAAAGAAATTCAATTATATATCTCTTTTAACAACTGAACAACTTTATGATGTTGAACTCTCATGCTCATTCTGTTGACTCAAAACTTAAAGTATACCTGACAGAATATTTCATTATACTTTTGAACTCAATGAATGCCATTTGGGAAAATTGGAAGCCATGAAAAAATTTCAGTTCTAGGTCATTTTGTTGTATGACAGTGCAAAATTACTAAAATCAACATGTTTAATATATCATACTCAAATGGTATAATCTAAAACTGTTAAAATATTCTCACTTTCCTGGTTTTATAATACTGACTAGCCTATTCATAACTATTGTTCTCCTACTTAGTGTTATAAATTTAGTATTAACTACCATTCAGGAACTCAATAATATTATAGTGAATCTTAAGGAAAAGGAAGATCTTTTAATGATGGGAACAAGTTAATGTGGTAGAAAATAATGCATTTGACTTTATAGTAGTATTTGTGTTAATACAATGTATTTATTATACTCTAGTACATTTCTTTCAAGGTTAGCTAATGACAAGAGTTCAACCTCACTTAAAATTTTTGTTTTAAATAAACCCATGCTTATTTCTCAGGGATTCATTCCTTCATATAGCTAGTATTATTAAGTGCCTATAACATGCCAGATATTCTTTGATAGCTGTTGAGGACCAGGAAGAACTCAGCTTTGAGTCCAGCATGATGATGTATTCTTGTAATCTCAGCTCTTGGGATTATAGGAGGATAAAAAGTTCAAGGCCACCTGGGCTACATAGTATGACTTTCTTTCAAAAGGGAAAACCAAACTTTTCAGCCTTCATGGAGCCTACATTCTAGTGCGGGGAACAGAAAATATAAACTTAGTAAGTTATATTGTATAAAGGGTGTTTAAGAATTTTTCATCATGAAATTAAGTTTAAATTTTATAACATCGATGATCTAGTCTTAGCTATACACAATGGCTGTCATTACACATTGGACCTCCCTTCAGAGATTGAAAGGTACAGTTGTTAACTGTTTGAAATGAGCTTAGTAATACAAACCATCTTTCTGCATTTTATTGTTCTCTTTGAACTTATGTCCCATAATAGCTACCCTCCTCTCATTCAAAGCCTTCTGTAACCTATCCTTTCATTCTACATGTATCTAGCTTTCTCTAAAGACCAGGCACACAGTATCTTGGTCAAGCAGTACTCAACATGCAAGAGATAGGAAGACCTATCCCTGTAAGTTATCTATAAAGGCTAACTACCTAAAAGGAGAAAAAGAAAGGTAGAACAAAATTATAATTGAAAAACTAAAGTCTGCCAGAAAAAAAGAATGATGATTTCTGCCAAGGGAGGCCTACTTTGGAAAGACAAGTACATGTAGGAAGGCAGAGAAGGTACAATGAGTGGATCATATAGTACATATATCACAAAGTATATAAACTTGGGAGAGCAGGCAGAAATAGATTCAAAAAAGATAAATTTGGGAACAATAAAGGTGATGTTTGCACAGATGCCACTGTTGGGAGTGACATCCTTCATGGGAAGGATAGAAAGCAGAAGTAGAGGTAGCTTATGTACAGATTTGAGTTGCAGCACTAGGCTCACTGTAAACGGTGAATGGGTCTCAAGACATAAGGGAAAGCATTTGAAGCAAGAATGGAGACTAAGTAGCAAAAAAGGATAATATTAACAACCTATCCAGCAACTACCTACCTTTCATAGCTAGGCAGAGCTCTCTATTCAACACTGGACATTCAGCCAACAGTAGACCATTCCATGTATATGCTACTCTCAATCTAGCAGTGCTTCTAAACCAAAGAGAGGAATTGCCACATGTATCTTATGCAGGGTAAGATAGAGAATTTCCTCTTCATGTTAACTACCCATAACATGTGTGTTCCAGAATTCATACAAGACTCTATCTTTAACTATCACTGTCACTATCCTGGGGCACTAGAAAGTCAACAGTAAGAAGATACTACACCTTGGCATCATCCCATGGATTATATATAGTAACACTGTTGTGTGCCTATCCATCTCACCAGCTAATCTGGAAACTCTTCAAGAGCAGAGACTACCTAATAGTAGGCATTCAGTTAAGGCTGACAAACAAATAAATTAACCCATCAAATTTTGCTCTGGGCTAACAGAGAGAAGACATACCAATTGCTGCTATTTTATATCCTAAATTTTGACAGCACAAAGGCTGCTCAACTGGCTTCACACCAATACAAAATCCATGACCTGAACAGGCACACAAAATCAGACACCAGAATCAGAGGAAGACAATTTTCTATTTATTCATTTGATTATTGGTGGTGCTGGGAATCACCCAAGTCCTTAAACATGCTAAGCACATAGTACCAAAAAGCTTCATCCTCAGTCTATTAAATTTAATTTTTTAAATGAAGTTTTCCCCTCCCACTAATTTTCTGAATGATGTTACAGGGCCAGTTTTAATCACTTACATACACACAGACATGCACTCCAGTTAAGAAATAAAGAAATTGTAATCCAAAATAATACTAGAATGACTCTTCCCAAAATCCTAAGAGCTAGAGTAAAATTCTACCCCCAAATAAGCAAAATAAATTCGCAGTTATGGTCAAGACTGAAATGTAACGGCCAAAAATGGAAGTTAAATTTCTCTTCATAAAGAAAGGGAAATTTTTAAAGGTAACATTAAATCAAAAAGTAAGTAATTGTTGACATGCAAGACTATTCCCCTGGGCAGGCAGTGCATGGGCCTGTTCTTAAGCAGACACTGCTTGAGAACAGCTGAACACATTCATCTCCCAGGTAGCCAGTTCAACCCCTCCCTGAGGGCTCTGCACAGATGGCCTCCAGGGCTCAGACTACAAATGCTATGCTAGGTGTAGAAAAGATGATGAGATTTGTATAGAGAAATGCAAATGTGTCCCAGTCTAGACTGACAGTTCGTGAACAAAGAAACTTCTCAAGTCAGCCCTTCTTATTTTATGTTGTGTGTGGTATGTGCATTTGGGGAACTGGAGGAAGAGTCTTTTTTTGGTGAGATGAAGCAAACATATAGACTACTACAGCAGAGAACTAGCCTTTCTGGAATCCACAGAGGGTCTGGCCTTTTATCCCCAGCCCCAAGCCCATGCCTAGGCCCGGGTTTTGTCATGGGCGCCTCCCTGCTGTCCTGCTCAGGCTGCTCCACATGAGCAGAGAGAGACAGGAGGCAGGCCCCCCTGACACCTACTTAAATAAGGCAGATGCAGGGAAAGCGTGTGGGATGCCTTTACCTCCCCCTCAGGAGGTGCCCAGCAGGAGCCCACAGAGCCAGAAGCTCCAAAATCGGATTTCCACACCTCCTTCCACCCCAGAACAACGCCTTACCTCTCTAGCAGGAGGAAACAAAACATTAAGCAAGTGTTGCTCTGGTGTGTGAAGGGGATTTCAGAGGACCTGAGGAAACTTTCTTACAGGACTCTGCTTTTTTCTGCAATCTCTTTTGAGGCAAACTTGGGAAGCAGTTATGTACTCACTGACCCCAAGGGGATAAGGATGCTACTTCAAGGAGGCCACAATCAGCATCTGCAAGACATCTTGAGCTAGACACATACTTTGCATACACAAAATGTCCACAGAAAAGTTAGACAGGCTAATTTCTGACAGCTCCAGATAACAGGAGGAGAAACTGACTCTCAGCTTCCACTACTCAGGAGCAACAGCTCTTCCGATCCAAGGGATGTGAGACAAATACATAAATACAATTATCTGCAGAGCTTCAAGTGCAAGAGCAACACTGGAAAGTCCTTCTCCCCAAATGCAGTGACTTATGGGAAACAGATAGGACAATAAAAAAGAACAGCTGGAAAACTTAATTAAAGAACAGCACAAAAACTGACATTGTTTTGTAGAACCAGCCAATAGCCAAAGCTTTTTCCCCCTTACCTTAAGATACAGAAGCAGCTCTTGGCTCCTGAAGATAAGCGGCAGAACCCAAATCTCTGTTTGCTGTCAATGTCAGTGAGCACGAATGTGAAGTTTTGGCCAACTTGGCTAACTGTGAGGCTGTAGTAAAGACAGAACAAAGAGAGAAATGAACACTCACTAAGTTTCTTGATAAAGTATCTAATCACCACAAGTCATTGAACTGGTAACATTTCCTCTTAAAGTGAAATTCTTCATAAATAAGTTTAAATTTTACTTCAGCGGAAGGGGGAGGAGAGAAGGAAAGAGACAGCGGGGAAGAAACAACTAGGAAGCAGTCTGTTTGGGTGATCCCCGAACATCAAACTAATCAGTATTTCATACCTTCCACTTACTGAGTTCAGGCCCTGAGGTGGCTTGGTTAACAACCACCAATCCTGAAAAGAACATTCTACCCACCTCATGCATAATACAAAGAAAGGACAAGGACAAACATTGCCTCAAGTCAGCTAGTTAAGCAGCAAAAAGCTGTATTTTTAGTCTTGCTCTGACTCCAGTGGCACTCCACCAGCGTGCTGTGACTAACACACACCTGACTAACTCTCTAGTTTAAAAACTACAAGTTACCACAGCAGCAGAATTCAATTATCTTCTATGCCCCAGCTATAGGTAAGACATTTGAAGTACACACCATCCATCTCGTATATCTCACCACTACCCAGGAAATTCAGTGACATTCATGTGCTATAGAAAAGGATACTGAAGGAAAAAAATAGATTTGGAAAGTAATCAAGTTAACAGAATCACTAAGAGGACAAGCTGGTATTCAAACTGGTGAGCAAAGAGAGCAAGAATAGATGTTGTTATCCTAAATTCCTCTATCTTTCACAATTTCTAAGTTTATGTGGACAAGTTTCAGAGGACAGAGGTACCAAAATGTTAAACATCACAATGTAATAAAAAAAAAAATAGAAACAAGCCAGGTGCTGGCGGCTCATGCCTGTAATCCTAGCTACTCAGGAGGCTGAGATCTGAGGATCATGGTTCAAAGCCAGCCGAAGCAGGAAAGTCCATGAGACTGTTATCTCCAATAAACCACCAAAAAACTGGAAGTGGTACTGTGGCTCAAGTAGTAGAGTGCTAGCCTTGAGCTGAAAAGCTGAGGGACAGCACCCAGGCCCAGAGTTCAAGCCCCACAACTGACCAAAAAAAGAAAAAAAGTCTTAAGCAAAGACTTTTTTTTTTAAAGCCATACATTTCTGGTAAAAATACACTATTACACTATAATATAAACCATATAATATCACATATTCCTTTTTCGTATAATTTTTGTATAGATTTTTATGTATAGTTTACATTAAAGCAATATATAATAGTATTAAATAATTAAAAAGCATATAATGTATTTTAGTAAAATCAAACACTAACGTAAAAATAATGAACATATTAATCTAGAAATTCTCTTTCAAAAGTAACAAAACACTTTAAAATCTGCTACTTAATCAATTTATAGATAGTTTACATTCAATTCTTAAAAAATTTTAATACATTTGAGCCAGGTACTGGTGTTTCAAATTTATAATCCTAGCTACCCAGACCTGAGGTTCACAATTTGAAGCCATCTCAAGCAAGAAAGTTAGTGAAACCCTTATTTTCAATCAACCACCAAAAAGCTGTAAGTGGAGCTGTGGCTCAAGCAGTAGAGCATGAAAGAAAGAAAAAGGGAAGAGAGAGAGGGAGAGAGGGAGAGAGAAGGAGGGAGAGAGGCAGAGAGAAGGAGAGAGAGAGAGGCAGAGAGAAGGAGGGAGGGAGAGAGGGAGAGGGAGAGGAAGGAAGGAGAAAAGTAAAGAGAAAAAAGAACCCATATTCCAAATTCTAACACATAAATTTACAGTAATATTTTAGAATTTGAAATTGAATTACTCTAGCAATTAATCAACTAGTATTGTACATATATTGTATTTTTAAAGTTAACTCAAATTGTAAAATAGTCAAATCAGTAAAATATTCAAATTGAGGCTAGCACCTATAGTTTAGTATATAAATTTTAAGTGGAAATAAAAAGCATGGCTTACTAGGACTTTCCAAGATTCTTATTAAATCTTTGGATATGATATAAATTAAGTATTCAAATAGAGGGTAGATTTTCTTTCTAAAACTCTCCTTTACACACCACCTAAGAGAATTAATATTAAAAGGATAGTCAAAGTACCCCAGTACAAAGGTCAAGGGCCCTACCTAATTATTTTTAAGGAAACATTTTCATGCCTTGGAGAGTGGTTAGAGAGTAGAGGAAAATAATTCAGAAAGAAGTGTTCCACACTCCTTATTTAAGTAGGAAGGTGAACAAACACAAGGTGGCAATTTAAAAGCAACATGGTAATAAAGCAGGTGTAAGTAATGCTATCCCTCCACCTTACACAACCAAGAGAAGGAACACATTTCCATAAAAGTTATAGAGCTGTCAAGGGGACACCAAACGCTACCTTCTTATGGCTGTTATGTTTTATCTATAAAGCTTGGATACTGTGTTACTATGGTGATTTAATACTATGTTTTAAAGGGGGATTATATGATTAGTTTTAACAAGGTTGAGAACTGAAGATGTGTGAGAAACAGGATTCTGGTTCACATAATTAAAGTGATGTGGAGGAAAGTAGGCCTCAATGGGGGAGGAAAAACTTGTTTTTATTAAAATATTTAAAGCAGCAGGTCTAGATGAGTCTTACAATTAACATCACTTAAGAAATACTACTATGTGATAATACCAAATATAACTGTTCATTATTTTTACCTTAGGGTTTGATTTCACTAGAATGCATAAAATGAATATTCTTCTGAGAAGCATCCTAGAAAAGAAGGCTATTGATAGAACTAGATGAAAAGAAAACATGCAAGATCTCTAGGAAAAAGACATATGACTTGTAAATTGGCTGTCATTAATTTCCTACTATCTTTAAATTGCCATTAAAAATGCTGAACACTGCTGGGTACCAGTGGCTCACACCCATAATCCTAGCTATTCAAAAGCATGCAATCTGAAGATTGCAGTTTGAAGCCAGACCGAGCAGTCAAGCACATGAGACTATTATCTGCAATAACCACCAAAAAGCCAGAAGTGGCTCTGTGGCTCAAGTGGTAGAACACTAGCCTTCAGAGAAAAAGCTCAGTGACAACACCCAGACCCTGTTCAGGACCAAGAATTTGCAAAAACATACCCCCAAAAAAGAAAGAAGAAAAGAAAAGCAGTTTTCACTGCTTTTTAGCTATAAGAAAAAAAAAAAAAAAGCTTTTTAGGCTAAAAGAAAAATTCATTACTTACATCCTAGGTTTGAAGCCCAACTCAGTCACTGCTAACTAAGCCTTCAGTTAGCAAGTTACTTACAGCCAATAAATACCTTTGTTTCTTCACCTAGAATACCATACAACTCAAAGAGTTATTTGGAGAATATTTGGAGTTATTTGGGATAGCACCTTAGTATAAAGGACAGAATCATGAATAAAAGGTAGGTAAGCTGTTGCTAAGGGAATAAAAATGTAAAACTCACATTAAAATCATGCATTTACAAAGAATCTTCCTGATAGTGCTTTATAGTCTCCATGAATGTCTTTTTTGTTTTGTTTTGTTTTGTTGGTCGTGGGGCCTGAACTCTGGGCCTGAGCACTGTCCCTCAGCAATTCTGCTCAAGGCTAGCGCCCTACCACTTGAGCCAAAGCGCCACTTCCAGCTTTTTCTGCATATGTGGTGCTGAAGAATCGAACCCAGGGCCTCATGCATGCAAGGCAAGCACTCTACCACTGAGCCACCTTCCTAGCCCCTCCATGAATGTCTTATCTGTGCATTTTTTTCAAGTAAGGATAGTCCTCTGGAAGACCAAATGACCCACATTGGCATTAAAGTGAAAAACTTAGGGAGCAGAGGCAAAGCCACAGCTTAGAAGACACTTTTTTTTTTTTTTGGTCTGTTGTTAGGCTTAAATTTAGGGCCTGGGTGCCATCCCTGAGCTTCTGCACTCAGAGCTAAGCTCTACTACTTTGAGCCACAGCACCAGTTCAGGTTTTCTGATGGTTAATTGGAGATAATAGTCTCAAAGACTTTACTGCCCAGGCTGGTTTGAACCACAATCCTCAGATCTCAGCTTCCTGAGTGGCTAGGATGACAGACGCGAGCCCCAGGCGCCCCACTAAAAAGCACTTCTTATTCTTAATGGACTCCTCCTGAAGTATAAGTCATCAAAAACACAAAATCAATTGACTCCAAAATACTTTCCCTTGGCCATTTTTCAATAAACTAAGTCTGTAAGGGGCAGGGAAACAAAGGTTAACTTGAAGTATCCTGAATCTATGAGTAATCTGTCATTCTTTCTCTATCTGCTGAGGTAGTCTATGGGAAAGTATGCTGTATCCCATAATATGAGCCTGCTTCCTGAAAGGTTGTAGTTTTTGGCCTTCCTTACAATATCAGCATCCATAATTTCTACAGGAATCAGAGATTCTATAATGATTAAATTAAAAGGAACTTTAGAAACCACTTCAACCAATTCCCATTTTTCATAGATGGGAAAACTGAGATGTAGGGTTTTGTCTTCCAAAGTAATTAGGACTAGGACAAAAACCTGGCCAAACCTTTAGTTGAATGACTTTCCTTCCAACATGTTGTACTAAACCCAAAGGAAACTTCCCCAAGAAGTTTCACTTCAGTTTAAGGAACCAAAAGTATGTGAAGAATGCAGATGGGCTGTCTCAGCAAAATTGATTGTACTTCTTGCCAAGCTACAGAAATCAAACTTGAGTATCATCAGAAATAAACCAAGAGATCAGGTTCCAATCCAGATGATCCTTAGATGTTTTTCCCATGCTTAGTTAGGCACATATGGAATATAAGGGAGAAAAGTAATGACTATTCAAACCAAGACTAGACTTCATGCTGCCTCAAAAATGTCTGTTTGCTATGGAAAGTTACCCAGCAGCATTTGGCTTAGTCTTGAAGTTGTTTACAGGTCCACTGTATGAACAGCCTGGCATATGTGGATAGGGAGTTTGGGTCTAATCTTCTAGTGAGAAATGAAATTTTATATGTCAGTCTCATGTTAAGCTTAACCATTTTGCAAAATGAGCTCCAATTATACAAGTACTATAAC